CCCCCCCCCCCCCCCGTATCTCTTTGGCTGCCGCATTTGTTTTTGCCTCCGGTAGCGTTCGAGGTTCGGCGATTGCCGCAAAGGGGGCGCGGCGGCAGCGTCCTCCAGCCGGGGGCCTGCGGGGACGACAGTGGCAGCGGAAGGGTCGTGCTGCTGCAGTTCAAGAACCTTGACGACGAGGTCGCAGCACTCGTCACGAAGGTGGGTTTTATCCCCGCCTCGTCATCCTGTCTGGCCTGTGAAAGAAGTGACGACCGAATCTTTGGGTTCCTTGTGCGGGAGCAGTTTATTAGAAGCTCCGGGGTCGGCTTCAGGCAGAGCGTATCCCCGCTACCTTCCACGGCATGGGAAAATATCATCCCCACCCCTCCGCCCTCCCTCTTTGTCGCCGTCGACAAGGTTAAGCGGGCCAAGTGTTGGCATGACCGCCACCCGGCGTGTTTTTTGCCGGTGGCGTGGGCGGTATGCGCGGCTGTTGCGGCAAAGTGGCCGAGTGACGGCGACTTGGGTGGTGGTCCGGGGGCGTCCTGTGAACACGGTGCCCCCGGTTGTCGTCTTGCACGTGCTCGCGCGCGGAAGGCGAGGCGGCCGTCGCCGTTCTCCATCCTCGCCCTGCTAGCGGCCTTTCTCGATAAGGTACGCAGCAGCACTTTTTCTTTTTTTCTTTGTTCATAAGTATCATGTTTTGAATGCTGGTGTGCATATGCCGTCGTAGTTCATTCCATGGTCTGATTCCATGGACGATTCCACACATACTGAGTGCGTCCGGCGTAGTCAAAAATATAACCTGCACGACACACGGGGCTGTGTTAGCCTATCGTTGATGGGGCAACGGCAGTAGCCGCGGTGCGTACCCGTCTCACCATTTTTTCTTGGTCCGCCGACCCTCCGCCCTTCGTGGCATTTTTCCGCTTGTGCTTTTTTTTTTTCGTTCAGGACAGCAAGGCTCGAGGAGTGTCTAAGGAGGCCTTTGGGGCAGGCCCCAGCCCGACGTGTGCAAAACAGAACCCGAACATCGGTGAGAGAGATTGAGAAGGCGTAACAACGGCCGCACTCGCGCCGTGTCGACGGCAAGAACCGGGCGGGCTACGCCTAGGCTACGCGTCGGGACGCTAGATTATGTACGAGGTACATGGTTGAAAGACGCGGGTCGCCGTCTGGACTGCATGTTGGGATGCTAGATTACGTACGAGGCCTATGGTTGAAAGACGTGGGCCGAGTGATATTGAGTCCCCTACTCTCGCCAAACCCACTGATGGCATCACCACCCCCTACAGGAGAGATCTTTCTGCGGTTCTGCTCGTATGTGCGTCAGCTGGGGGTGAAGCCAGGCAGGCGGAAGTCGGCGGGACCCCCGGCGACGCTGAACCTCCTCGATAGCGGTGAGCTGGAGATGTGGTGGTCGGCAGCGGCGGCGGTGGCGGCCGCACCGAAAGGGAAAAAACCGCAACGCAGCGACCGCGAGGCGGAGGCGGAGACAGGGGAGCTTGCGACGGGGCAGGTGAATTTAGCGACAAGATCGATCGACTTCCAGGATTTGGTTAGGATTGCGATTCTTAGGCTTAGTAGATCGGGCTCAGGTGAATGAGCGGGCTTGGGTTGCTCTCGACCATCTATCGCGTATCGGGGGAATCTGAGGCTAGGTAGAGACCAGAACAATCTTGAAACAAGCACCAGTTTCGCAAACACATGTCATTGGCTGGGTACAAGGGTAATACGCAAGCTAGACGCTTGAGCAACGTGTGGCATGATTGAAATCGACTTGGATTTTTTGTGGGCTCAGAATGAGGTTCTAGTGGACGCGCATGGTCGCACGTATGCCTTGTATCCACTCCTGTCCATACCGCACACGCCCTTTGCGCTTGTATGCCTTTCATGGTTTCCCACCATTTCTTTGGCGGCATTTGTTTTTTGGCTCTCCCTCTCCCCTCTCGTCGCCCCAGGGCCAAGTGGATCTTGTTCGGGTACAGGTAGGCGGCAAGGTCCTCGAGGACCTGGTTGACGCTGCCTTGGCGTCTGACCTCAGGCGGTGAGACGAGGCGGGGTGTGCTAGACATGGCCGTGTTGCTCAGGCCTCACCTGGTCAGCAGTATGTGGTTGGGCGGGGAGATGTGTGGCGACCCAGCGGGAGTTCGTCTTCCCAGTCATGGTGTCTCCAACCTAAAAGCGTCAAATCTGGATGAATTTTAATCGTCATCTCGTACCGCCGCGAGCACGTTATCGACTAGTTACCCTTCTCTCTGCCCCCCCCCCCCCCCCCCCCCCCCCCCCCCCCCCCCCCCCCCCCCCCCCCC